TATATATATATACACATATATATATATAAAAGGGACACCTCTCTTCATCTGAGTTTGGGTACATAGGTGGACTTTATGGTACATGAAATATATCTCAACAAAGTTGTTTTTAAAATAAAAAGGAAAAGAAACCTATGTCCTAATTAAAAATTTCAGTTACTTTCTTCATATTTACCATAATTAAGTATCACTCATGTTATTATTTACATAGCTTTTTCCTTTAAATTGACAACTTGTACTTAAGTTTGTAACACTATCAGTTAATAAAAAATATATATAAATATAGCAAAATACTGACAGTGGTACTCAAATAAATGAAATTTAAGAAACTTGGTTGAAGCAAAACAATTGCCAAGCAGAGAAATGGAGCAGAAAAAAAAAAATTAAAACAAATCAGTGAGCAGACATGATTACTAAGATTCACTAGGCAAAAGGTTTCTGATGAACTGCCAGGGATGAACTAAAATCTCACTGTTCTTATCTTGCCCTTTTTAGTACAAAGAATGTCTGTGGAGATAACTGAAAGCCCTAGAGATAAAAATGTGAAAATGGGCTTGAGTGCCAGGAAAAGCACACCTCTCTTCATCTGAGTTTGAGTACACAGGTTGTAAAAGGACAAGGCATAAATGGCAAACCCAAAGTAGTAAGAAAATCACCGGCAGCATTACTTTTAAAAAATACAGGCCCATCACCAGCTGAAGCTAGAACAGCATATCTATGAATTGTTTCAATAATACCTGACAAAAAGTTAAAAAAAAAAAAAGTCTTTAATCAGAGTTCTCCTTCAATGTTCACAAAATCTATCACTTACTTTTCTTACCCTTAAGAAAATCTATTTGCCTTTCTGAGTCTGGTACTTCAACAATTATACTCAAAAACTATGAATAATTTTTGCTTTTCCATGTTTTGCTTATTAGGGTAAAAATGAATATTTTGAAGAGTAATATGGACATTTCATAACTCCTTGTTATTAATGAGGTTTGCAATTACTTCTATATATACTGTCATTGATATCAACCAAGAGGTATTTAATTTCTCCCATAATAGTAACATGCTCCAGGGCTGGGGATAGAGCTTGGTGGTAGAACACTTGCCTGACATGGGTGAGGCACTGGGTTTGATCCTCAGCACCATATAAAAATAAATAAATTCTGTCCATCTAACATTTACAACTAAAAAAAATTTTTTTTAAAGTGGCATGCCCCATTGAAAATACAAAAACTCTCTTTTTTCTATTCTGAATCAAAAGCAGATCTAACATATTGCAGTCTTTACAAGTGAAATATGAAGTCTGAGATCTACTTTAAAACAATTTGGCAGCAAGCAGATTTTAGAAGACAAGATTGTCCACAGGCAAGTAACTGCTCAAACAGATTAGCCAAAGCAGCTCATTATTCTACTGTTTTTGCATGTTTTCAAAATACATATAATAAACTGTGCCTTAGGAAGAAATCATTAAAATGTAGCAACTATTTAGCAAAACTTCAAGATAACTTTAGTGTTTGTCATAGAGAACATTTCCTTCTAATACGTTCTTAAGACTGGCACCACTACTGGACTATAAGTCTTTTCACTGTTTATATTCCACAAGACCTATTATCAACCAATGAAAACCAAAAATGGCTATGAACAATATTACCTTCCAGCAGAAAACAGCAAAGAGAATTTTGTTATTTATTTTAATTATTGTTGTATAAGCCATCTTTAGTTTTCACATCTAAAATTTCAAAAATGGCAATTCCACAATGGATATCAGATTGCACCACTGGAGAGAAGTCTGTTAAACTTTCCAATAACGCCAGGTTAAGTGTTTAAAGAATGTTCACATGTAATTCCCAAAGGATTTTTGCTTCGCCTTTAAAGCCAGGTTGGCTTGTTGTCAGGTATGAAAGTGAAAAAAGAATTTTAAGTCCCTTCATCTTACTGATCTTTAAAACATTACTGAGTTAAATGGGGCATGAACAAAATCTTACTATCTAATCAATCTTTTGGTATTTCTTAAATATCTATGAAACACAAAGGAAATACATTTTTAAAATCTGTCTAAAACACTATCGCGGGCTGGGGATGTGGCTCAAGTGGTAGCGCGCTCCCCTGGCATGCGTGCGGCCCAGGTTCGATCCTCAGCACCACATACCAACAAAGATGTTGTGTCTGGCAACTAAAAAATAAATATTAAAAATTCTCTCTCTCTCTCTCTCTGTCTCTCTCTCTCTCTCTCTCTCTCTCCTCTCTCACTCTCTCTTTAAAAAATAAAATAAAATAAAACACTATCGCTGGGATCTCAATCATCAAAATTACTTATTTATAAGCACATTTGTAGGGAAACCCTGATTATGATCCCATGGTTGTTGAACAAAAGGGCAAGTGTTTAACAATACTACTATGGTCTCAATCTTTATGTCCCCTCAAAACATATATGTTGAAATTCTAGCTCCCAAGGTATGAGTTTATTTTGTTGTCATTGGTGTGTTTGTTTTTCAGCACTGGGGAATGAACCTAGGGGCACTTTATCACTGAGCTATATTCCCAGTACTTTTTGAGACAGTCATATTAAGCTGCTGAGGCCAGCCTGGAACTTGTGATCCTCCTGCGATGTCCCAATAGCCCACAGTGATGGTATCTGGAAGTGAGAAGTTTGGGAAGTAATTAAGTCAAGAGGGTAGTCCCCTCAAGAATGGAATAAATGCCCCTGTATAGGCAGAAGGGAGACAGGTAGACGGTGTCATCTATGAACCAAAAAGCAGGCTATCATCAAACATGTAATTTGAAGGCATCCTGATCTTGGACTTTCCAATTTTTAAAACTGCAGCTCAAGGGAATAGGGAAAAAGGCAAAGAGCAAGCATTTATTAAGGGCTTACCAAGAAGCAGTTCTAAATACTTTACAGAGAACTCGTTTATTGCTATTAACAAATTTATGAGGTGGACATTATCCATTTTACAGATGAGAAAACCAAGGCTCTGAAAAATTAATCTGCCAAAAGTCGAGTGGTACAACTGGCATTGAAATTAAGATCGGTCTGCCTTCAAAGCCACCATATCACAGTTCTTCCCACAAAGGTAACTTTCTGAATCACTCATGTCTGAGTTCCAGGGTTTGATCCAAAATAAAAATTTTTTAACTCTTGAATTATTTAAAAATATTAATTCTTTAGATAATAGTTTTCAAATTATTTCAATATTTGTTATAAATCAATCTGCACCCAACAGTTTGAGGAATAGTCATTGTGAACAGAAAATTCAGAGACAAAGCACCAGAATGAGATACTGGTTAGATTATCAACCTTAGTTTAGAAAGCTTAACGCCAGATCTCACTACCAGGTGATCTAGAGCAAGTAATAATCTCTTTGAGCCCCAGTTTCCCCATTCATAAAATGTGCACAGCACCTCTCCCATCCTGAGACCTCAAATTGTTTATGTAAAGTTTATGTGAACGAAATCGACTTGTAAACTAAATTACAATACAAATAAGGAATTACATCTATCCAATAAGATGACTATAATAAATAGCTATTTTCATCAACAATAACTTGGCACAAAGGAGAAAGATAATCCACTAGCAACAGGAAACTGCTTTCAGGCAGGCGGAGCCCAGCCTCAGCGGGTGCCGCTTGACAGCAGCAGGTGCTGCTTGGAGGAGTGATTTTCTGCCTGCTTTCTAACAATTCCTTCGCTCGCAGGAGCCGGTTCCTAGTCTACCCAGGTTCCTAAGCGCGACTGGAAATCGACGTGGGGAGGAAGGCGCAAATGAAGATTTGGGGAAAGGGCAGAGGCAGGAGGCTGGGTCCTACCACTCCCAGGTGCGAGGCCTTGGTTAAACTCTTCAGGCCTAATGTAAGCATTTGTAAGATGGAGAGACCATTCCCGCCTGCACCCCTGCAGAGCTAAGATCAGCGGAGCAGGGAAAGCAAGGTAAACCCAGCTGACAATGAGAGATGTTAGCGATCATCTGTCAAAGGAGGGCAGAGAAAGGATGCTCCTCCACAGGCCCCTCGCAATTCGGGCATTCCAGAAGGCTCGACACGCGCTGCCACAGCGACCCCCGTGAGGCAGCCTCCCACTCAGCCCTCCACCCGCGTGGTGCTCAGTCCCAGGTCCCTGGCCCCCGGGCGGAGCCGCCCAGCGGGC